GGGAGGGGCGGCGCGTGCTGAACGGATCCGCGCGCAGCTGATGCGATTCACGGGGCATGAGACTCGCAATGCTGCAGCAGGCGGTTGAGCGCTTGTGCAGTCCCTGGGCACAAGCCAAATCATATCACCACTTCAAGGACGCAGTCGCGTTTTACACATCCGCAAGCACGCATCCATGCTCTGTTTCCTCCCCCCTCATTCTCTTGCAATGTCGTACATAAACCTACGCAAATTTTCCCTGTAAGGAAAAACACACACACACACACGCTCACATTTTTAAACGCAGCTACTCCCGCGACAAGGGCGCTGACATCAGCAGCGAGGAGTACCGCCCCCACACCCTCTCAATCCTGGTGGCGGACCTGCCCGGCGTGCTGCAGGAGGTGGGGGGCGGCCGCCCGCATGCTCGCATTCCAGACCTGCTTGGCGTGCTCCAAATTGTGCATTTTTTGACGCTTACAGGGGGGTGGCTGCCCGCGTGCTGACATTCTAGTTGGGCTTGTCACTCTCTTTTTCGGGGGGCTGGTTGTGTGGAGGGGAAGGGCGTGTCGTGGCCGATGCGCCCCCCAGCAGGCGGGCCGCCGTGAAGCAGAGCGGGTGGGGCGTGCAGCTCGTGGCCGCAGTGGAGATATGCAGGCGTCTGAGGGCGTGAGCCTGGGTCGGGTCAGGCCCGCGTCACCCAACCCTGGCCGCCGCCCCTCCTCCTAACGTGCGTCCCCCGCGGCCCCCTGTCTCCCGCCGCGCGCGCGCCAGGTGACGATGGTGTTTGCGCGCCGCAGCTACAACGTGCAGTCGCTGGCGGTGGGCCCCGCGGAGACGCCGGGGGACAGCCGCATCACCACGGTCGTGCCGGGCACGTCCAACGGCATCCGCACACTCATAAAGCACGTCAAGGTGCGGGGACAGGGCGCACGCACGCGCATGTGTGTGTGTGTGTGTGTGTGTGTGTGTCCGCGCGTATGTCTGTGTGTGTACACGCGAGCTTGTGCGTTGGAGGGGCGCCCACTTGCCCTTTCGCTCACCAAACAATTCTTTTCCGATTGAGATGGTTGGCACGTCGCCCCCATGTGGCGGTCTGCGTGCGGGCGAGGTGCTTGGGCCACATCGATGCTTTGGCCGTGGCCTCCCTTCGACAACCACCGTGTCAACACATCTGCCGCGCAACACACTCCCACACCCATACGCACACCCAAATACCAAACCTCAACCTACCCTACCCCAAACCATCCCTGGGAACCTGAGCAGAAGCTGGTCAACGTCAAGGCGTGCGAGGACATCACATCCAAGCCCTATGTGGCGCGGGAGCTGATGCTGGTCAAGGTGTGCTTTTGTGTGTACATGTCATGTGTGTGTATTTGTGTATGTGAAATGTGTGTACCTGTATGTGAGGGTGTGCGCACGCACCAAGTGTGTGCTCGTGTGGTACGTGCGTGCATGGGTGTATGGGTGCCAAGAGTGTGGAGTCGTGGTTGTGTGGTTGTGTGGTTGTGTGCGAGCCCTCAGTCCTGACTCGTGTGCAATCCTTGCCGTACGCCCAGGGGCCTGACGGCAACCAGCTGCCCTCCCTCCCCCGGACGCCTGCCCGCCGCCCCGGCAATGGCCGCCTCCCCTGCCGCCCTCGGCCCAAACAGCCCAGCACCAGCTGCGCCGGCGCCCACCACTACCCCGCCCACCCCCACCTTTCCCCTGGCCCCGCTCAGGTGCGCTGCGCCCCCAGCCAGCGCGGCGAGCTGCGGCACCTGTGCGAGATCTTCCGCATGGCGGTTATCGACGTGGGGCCCACCACCATGACCCTGGAGGCCCAGGGGCGCGAGGACAAGATGAGGGCCATAGTCGACCTCCTGGAGCCCTATGGTGGGCGATTTGGGGGTGGAGGGGTGCTTTTGGGAGGCGGGAACGTGGGTCGAGGGGCCTGAGTTTCTGCTTTGTGGGCAGAGCGGGAATTAAGGGGGGGGTGCATGCGGGTGGGGTTTGGGGGATTCGGGGGCTGCCAACGCGCGTGCGGGCGGCGGCCTGGCGTACATGACAGTCTGTTTTTGGGCATCCGCACGCGCTCCTGAGCGCTTGGGTGCGAGAGAGCACGGGCGAGACCCGCCGAGGGCCCTTCAGCAGAAAAGCGGAGCCGTCGCGGGGCACCGCGAGCCCGCCTTGCCGGCGCCCGCGTCCCGAGTGACGTCACCCCTTGTCACCCGCGCGAATATGGCAGGCGTGCTGGAGGCCGCGCGCACCGGGCGCATCGCGCTGGCGCGCGAGAGTGGCGTCGACACGCAGTACCTGGAGTCTATGAAGGTGGGGGTGTGAGTGAGGCTGGGTGAAAGTGTGTTGTGTGCATG